AAAAGGCTTGAACTACTTCAGTTGGTGTGCAATGAATCTAAAATATATGAAAGTTTAATGTTTATCAGTACATTACAGAAAAGAATGAACTTTATCACAATATGCTAATTTTTTGAGAAGAATCTGTAGATGTCACCCTGGCAAGCATCAGACAGCAGAGAAACCTTGGGTCCATTACTGCGGAGGATGTTACCAGTGGTGAACTTGGTGACCGTTGTCCCTACAGGCCTTTCAGATCCTCCACAGGTTTCTCCTGTGTAACTCTGGACTCACCCCAGCTTTGACATGGCGCTCCAGACTGAGATCAACTGATTGTCATTTCTGAATAGTGGCATCAACATCAAGCTTCTTGTACAGACCTCTTATCTGTTCCCTGCTGTCCTTTGAGGCTCTTTAGTCCGCTCATGGTGGCGGAGAGGTCCGAATGGAGGAAAGTGATTCTGTAAACAGGTGGGCAAATAACGAGCTGAGATCAGGAGTGTCTGACAGTGTGCTGCAGAAACGCTGGTTGGTCTTATGTTTGCTGTCATTTTCATTTGGGATCCATAAAGTGTTTTTGATTTAAATTGTTTAAATCAATGCAGCTCTAACAAAAATTAGATCCTGTTAAACCACAATTCCTCTGGATGTTTTTAGTTGATCCATTATCGAACCAAGATGTTAGTTTTTCCCCTTTGCTTATTATGTTTCTAGAATAGCATCTGTCAGTAAAAAGTCTGTTTGTAACTCCTGGTTTGGTTGTTCCTGCAGAGGACCTGGGGACAGAGAACTCTGAGCAGCTGTACTCCTCCGCCCCTGAGATTAAAGCMTGAAGACACAGCCGTGCCATCAGAGAAGCACCTGAGAAAGAAGTGAGATGAGTGGAGTGGAGTGGTGCTCCAGGGTTCTTCTGTGAGCTCACAGCAGGGAAGAGAGTCCAGAGCCTCTCCACCCRTCCTCCAGGAGCTGACCTTCTGATCGCTCCTTTTGTCCAATGATCACACACGTTCTTCTTCGTTTTTTCTTTTTTTAAAGAGTCATGAAAGAGCCGTTTGKGCTGCAGAGTGAAGCAGTAGAGTTGTGGGTGGAGGCTCACTGTTGCCTGCTTCCTCTCTGTTCTGCCAGTTTCTTTTAAATGAACTTCAGATCTTATAATTGGCTTAGTTTTGGTTTCAACATTAAGCTTTTATTGAGCTGGACCAAGGCATTTGTTTTCTCTTCATTCGTACAGAATACTGGATGTTTGTGCTGAACTTCAGGAGCTTTCATTTCTTCAAACAGAACATGGTTTTGAGTATTTGCTACTGTTTTACTGATTTAGCATTTAAAGTGTCCAAATGAAAGAAAATATTGTTTTGTGACAAAGTGGAAAGAGAAAATGTTTGTTTTTCTTTGTTTTTCCATTTTAGGTCCTCTTCATTTGTGTCCAGTGGTGAAATAAACAGATGCATTACGGTTTTATTTGTTAGTAATGCACAGAACACAATGTTTGTTTGTTTTTATTGATTTTTTTTTCAATTCTGTTATCTGTTTGATGCTGCTGGTTTAACTTGTAGCTATAACCACATCCAATTTAATGTTATTTTTAGTTTATTTTTTATGGTCATCGGCTTCAAATAGTAATAAGCTGTAAATGTTCATCAAAAGATTAGTTCATGAAAGTTAAACTGAAGGTATTTTTCTAAGATAAATTGGGTTGGCTGCATTAATTATGGCAGTTTAGGCAAAGATCTCATGCAATGAAAATCACTTTTATATTTTGTGAATGCCTTGTCTACAACCAAACCAAATACAAGCTAAATATCTATTCAATCAACTGAATTGTAGCTATTTTTGTGTTTTGCAAGTTCAGTTGTCTCTGGTAACCATTTGAAATTGAACCAGATCCAAAAGTTAATCAGTCAGATGTTTATGTAATGTTTCTGGAAGTCTCAATAGAATCCACCAAGAGGCTCATGATATTTTGCTTACAGACATGGACTATTAAAAACTATTTTTTGCAGCAGGTGTTAATATCAACTGAGATTTCCATTGTTTTAATTTAAAAAAAATTTTCATACGCATTTTGACAGGACAAGTTGTGAAGAAAAAGTTTTCTTTGTTTTAAACTAATAAAGCTCTCCTATTGGCTGTTCGCATCGTGTGGTCCCGCCTGCTGACCAATCAGAACTCGTCTTAACCTTACTGAAAAACTTATCAGTAAGTACATGTTGGTTTTCTGGAACCAAAACAGTCGAAATCGGCTTAAATTTAATTTTTATTAAAGGTGAGGAAAAATAATTACCAGCGTCGTTCATTTATTTAAAATTGTAAAAACAATTCACCGCCTCTTCAGTCCGGTAAGAGGCGCTGGTTAGCCGGTCTGAACCGGTCTTCTGTTAAGCCCCTCCTCCCCGTGCAGTCTGCCTCTTTCACCCGGCCGGGCCGCGGCTGTTTTCAGCCTCCACCTGCCGCCGACATGCCGGAGTTTCTGGAAGACCCGTCCGTGCTCACCAAAGACAAGCTAAAGTCCGAGCTGCTGGCCCACAACGTGGAGCTGCCGAGCGGAAACCCCAACAAGGACGTGTTCGTACTGCTGTACCTGAACAACCTGACCGTCMGGAACAAGAACCAGCCTAAGCTCACCGTGGACGGCTTCTCCAGCGACGAGGAGTTGCCTCCGCCCGTAGTGTCCGGCAGGAGTCGGTCCTCCGGAAAGGTGAGCTAGCTGGGGCTTCTGGGTAGGTTCGGGTTTGACGAAGGTTTAAAGCAGAGAGTTCTGAACTGGTTACAGTTTTTATTTTTTATTTTCCTGACCTCAAATCTGAGAAAGAACGGAACCCATCACTTCTCAGGCAGGGTCTCCACCCAGAACCATAGCTGGCATTTAAGCTGGGCTTAAAGCTCTTTCAGGTTGGAGCAGACTTGTGTGGTTCTGACAGGTCCGAGTAGTTCTGAGCTCAGGTCAAAACCATTCAGGGTTCACTTCATCCCTGAAGTCTGCAGCTCCAGTGAGTTGGAGGAGTTCTGTGCTGAACCTTCAGGTTGCAGTTGGGTGGGTCTAAATGGATGAGGGGTCTGCAGACACTGAACCACAAGGTTCTGGTGCYGACAGACTCTGGTGGTTTCTGGGTTCATCAGAACTCCACTGAAACAGCATCTCTGTTGTTTCATCAGCACCTACTTTTTCCTTTCAGTTTATACAAGTGCACAAAATGTTCCAATGGTGTTTGTTTCTTTTTGTTGGTTCCTGTCTGCTGGTTTTGTTCTGACCCATTTTGCTCATGTTATGAGTTTTCAATTTTCTTTTATCTTGTAAACCCTGGAAAAAAAACCTAATGCTAATTAATGATTGGGATATGACAATTTCAGCAGATATTGATAGCCAATATTATTATTGCAGTTATGGCTGATATAACCAATATTTACGGATATTACACACACATGATGTGGCTCTCTACTTCAGTTATTAATGGCTGTACAGCATCAGTGTTAGGCCTGTCACGATAACAAATTTTACTGGACAATAAATGTCTCAGAAATTATTGTGATAAAAATAATATTGTTGGAGACCAGTTTAAACTAATACAACGATATGACACCCCCTCCTCCCGATCACAGAAGTTTACATTAAAATTTACACAGTGTAACGAGAAAAAAACAACTGTCGGTAATCCCAAGGCCTCAATTTAATTTATTAAACGATTAATGGATTTATTGTTTATTGTGACAGGCCTAATCAATATCATTATCATGATCCAACAAATACCGCTCCACCAACCATTTCCCCTCCAAAAACAGAAACACAAACGGCAACAAGTATCGTCCCAGTTTTACTTATCAGACTCGGCCGATACCGATGTTAATGCCGATATATCGTGCATCCCTGTTAACGATCCATCACTACAGACTTCAGGTGGTTCAAGTCTGAGCCTGACCTCCACTGATAGACAGTCCTGATTCTTTAACAGACTAAAGGGCTCGACACACGGGGAGCGACAAACTACAGCGATTAACGGCTGTCATCACAGCCAGGGTGAAAACCCGACACACGG